CTCGAGCCGAGCCGCAGGCAGGCACCCAGGTGGGGAGTTTGTTTTTACGTCATAAGCCAAACCCGCTCCCCACCCGCTTCCCAGCGTCCTGACGGCCGGGCTCTCCCTGCACCCCTCGCTGACCACGGAGGCTCCACGTCGGGGCCCGTGGCCTCCGAGGCCGGGTGCCCGTCGGCTGCTTTGCGGGGATTTCAGCAGCTGCTGTGCGTGGGCACAGGGTTCACGGGGATCATTTCACGGTCGCGTGACAGGTTCCCACGGGGCCTCGGGGGTGAAAGGCCGTCCGCGGTCTTCAGTGGGAATGCGGGTGAATGGAGAGTTCAATGCTTCCAGCTCGGCTGCTACAACAAGAACCCCCCGATGGGGCGGGGGAGGGGCTCTGGCCACAGAAACGCACGGGCTCAGGGGCCTGGGGCTGGACGTCCAGGATGGCGGTGTCGGCAGGTGCGGTGTCGGCTGAGGCCCCTCTCCTGGGCGTGCAGTCGGCCGTCCCTCTGTGCGTGCGTGTCCTCCTGTCTGTCCCTCTCCTCACGGGGACACCCAAATGGCTCCTTCTAACTGAATCGCCTCCTTACAAACCTGTTCCAAGTAGGGCTGCCTTCGGGGGGGCTGGGGGTGGGGACTCCAGCAGGTGAATTTGGGGGGACACTCTAGCCCACCGCCCTGCTCGGCCAGACACCCAGCGAGACCCAACTTCTCGCCTCACCGGTGGGCAACCTCTGTCCGCCTCTAACCCACAGCCCTGCTTCGAAAGCCCACCTTCGCCCACCCAGGGGGACACGTGGAGTCCTGGAGGCCACTGGAAAAGCCGGATGCCCCCCTCCCCCCGAATTGAGTCGCCCCATGGCCCTGCCCTCCGCCCGCCTCAGGTTGGGTGTCCCCGGGAGGGAAGCAGCTCATCAGAGCAAAGGTGGCCTCTGTGTCCAGCTGGCCCCGGGAGCCGGGCAGAGCCACACCGAGCGGGAATAACGACTCCTCTCGCCGGCAAGGGCAGGGGGGGGGGCAGGGACACCATCTGGCACCAGAACCCCTCATCCCCTCCAGGAGGAAACAGTAACAAGAACCCAGGAGCCAGGAGGTCAGGGTTCGATTCCCCGTCAGGGCCCAGGCCCGGGTCGTGGGCTCCATCCCCAGTGGGGGGGATGCAGGAGGCGGCTGATCCAGGATTCTCTCTCATCTCTGATGTCTCCCTCCCTCTCTCTCTCTCCCTCTCTCTCTCTCTCCCTCTCTCTCTCTCTCCCTCTC